GACTGTTTGTGTACGCGGATGAGCTGGTCGCTGCATTGATTTTTCAAGATTCCGCCTGCAAGATTCCCTTTGTAAAGTTGCTATTGCGTGTGAAATGACTAATCGGACCACAGTTCCCGGCCGTTCCGGCAAGCGCCAACATTAGCTTTGAAGCGCTGGCATATCTTTCATCTCTTGCCATTGCAACGGGAAGGTTACAGTGGCGAGCATTTGCCATCAAATGGCCTCACTCTTTTGGAGGCCCAACAGTTTGGAAAATTTCTCTTTTTGATAATGGCAATGATCGGATCAGAAGAAAAATTAAACAGTGATTATGATGATTCGAAATTTTCATCGTCAATCTTTGGAACAGTCTTAACATTCCTCTGCCGGGTCCCTCAGAACTTGAATCTCCAGAGGGTCTGGACCGAGCATCAGAGAAGCTGTACTCAGCAATGGATGGATGATTTGATTGCCACCTTTGAACTTGTGGCAAAGATGGTAGCGAACCAGAGGTCTGGTTCGTCATTTTGCACTTTTGGTATGCGAGATGCACAGTTGATCCACGACCAGGCAAATCATTTTGTGGTAGTTCCCACCAAAACTGGGGACAATGATTTTGCACAGGTGCCTTTGAGTTATGTGACCGATATGAAGCGACTATACACCCACTGTTTTGATAAGTGGGCGCCAGGTATTGTGGATGTGCACGATCCAAAATGGGCTACTTCTTCTGCCCACCCGGCGTATTTTTCTCATTTGGTGCATCCTCCACAAGAAAGACAAGGTAATCTCCGCAGTGATCCTGTTTGTGAGCCTGCTTCGAAACGTCTTAAAGCAGTTGGATTTGCAGCACCACCTGATGCAGGTACTGGTCCGATCCAGGTGGTAAAACCTTTGTTCAAACTTTTAGCTCCAGTTCCTCCAGGAAAAAACCCTTTTGAGGTATTCATGCCAAAGTTGCAAGCAAAGACAAGCCCATTGATTATGAATCCCAACGGTAAGACCAAGCATCCCATTTATTTTCGTTCTGCTTTTGAAGGTTCTTGTACTTGTGACGCAACAGGGATCTGTCGATCCTGCTATCCGCCTTTGTCGGCGGGAGTGGGACAGGAACGCATGCATGTTGACTTCAATGATCCCTGTTGGCAGCGAGACAATTACCGAGAAGAACAGTGGGCGCCAGTGGTCAAATTTGTAAAGCATTACCACGGGCTTGGGCTTCTTGGTCCAACACAGTGGTTGAAGGATACCACTCCCAATACACCTTGGGCACCTTGAGACCCACTGTTTCCAGAAGGTGCACGTCTTCTGGAAGCAGACACTCCCAAGGCAATGTGCAAGCCGATCAGGTTGGATTGTCGTCAGAAACGAAGCTTTCGCCATACTCCTCCTCCTACAGTTAAGAATCAGTGGCCAGGTGACGGTGATTGGCAACATTTTCCTGTTGATCAACGGGAAGTTGCTTTCATGGATGTAGCGGTTTCTGTCCAGGCAAGTGGTTTTTTAGACCCTACCAATGTCGAACGTTTGGGAATGGCACATCCAGACTTTGTTGCGAATTCACTTGTCTTAGATACATGGATTTCAAAACCTTGGTCGCCTATCCGGAGACGTCGCTGGGGCTTTGGAAAAGTGTCCAAGGATTGCAGTCTATCTCATGATCGCGTCACCAGCGGAACGGCGGATAGCAATGGAAGCATTTCCCCAATGGAAATCACATGCGGCCCTCCGGCGCTTTGCTTGTGTTCACTCTGTTGCTGCCCTAAAAGCACCACGGGTTCTCCCTGCTGATGCAGACGAACCCACAGCCCTGGATAAGCATCGTGCTTGGTTGAATTCTGCTGGACTGTTGCGTTTTGATTTTAACCATGATGATCTCATACGTTGGATGGGGGGCGAGTACACCAATCGACACCGTGATTTCAATGCAGAATGGGATGTCATTGAATCCAAATTGCAGAACAGATCAATTCCGTCCGATCTTCCACCTACAAAATTGGATCTTACTTATCGAATCCAGACAGAGGGTGTGCCTCTGCGGGGTCAGTTTACTACCCCCATGACGGCAACATGTCTTCAAAATTCTTATGATAATCATCCCGCGGTGGATGAAAATTTTGACAAGGTGGAAAAGAAGTTCGCAAAAGAAGAGTGGCAATCCTATCATCTCCACTATCTGCGGTTTGTGTATGAGTTCATTCCTGGCCTCGTTATCAATCCAATTCAATGGGTCTTTGACAAAGGAAAAGGTCGGATCTGCATTGATTGCTCCAATGGTCCTGATCCATTGGGTTCTATCAATCGTTACATTCCATCTCCAAAGGAGGTAAAGGCTGCAATGGAACACGCCAAGACGGCAACGGAGGATGCTCAAGCTGTCAAAGCTGCTGAAAATTTGGAAATGGAATGCCCACAAGTTTTTTACCAGTATGCATTTCAACGCATCATGCGACCTAATGAACCTATCATGGTCCATGCGGATGATATCAAGGCTGCTTTCCGGAGAGTGTTATATCACCCAGATCTGGCCTGTGCTTTTGCCTATGTCTATTCAGATTATCTCATGGTACCTGTGGGTCAGGTTTTTGGTTCCCAAAGTGCACCTTCTTATTCCTGTGTGTTGGCAGATGTTCGTCAAGCATTGGCAGCTTGTCGACCAGATGATTCCATTGTCCATCCTTTGGTGGCATCATGTACCTTTGAAACTCATTCATCTACTCCTTTGGTCCAAGTTCCACAAGACTCCCATTACCCGCTACTCTCTCTAGAAGAGCAGGAAAGTATGTATAATGCTAGTTTTGTGGATGACAATGGCGTCGTGGCATATTTAAAAGAAATGCCACAAGCGCTTCAGCACAGTGTCCAGTCAGCTTTTGAGACGTTTGGAGTGGAAGATCGCCGTGGTGGTTGCCTTCAAGATGCCAAGTGGAATTCTTTGGTTTCGGAGACATTCATGTTCTTGGGGTTTCGTGTCGATACACATCACATGACAGTTTCATGGCCGTTAGAAAAACGCCAAGCCCTCCATATCAAAACCCGCTCGTGCCAAGTCATCACGGCAGATTCGCCAGAGGAAGCCAAAATCAGAACTCCATCCACCAATCCCGGCATAACTTGCATCAGAATAGACTCTGTGTGTGGGATCACGTTCCAAATAAAGTGCAATGGGTCTAGACCACAAAGGACTACTTTCCGGAAAAAGTAGAGTCTCCAGGAGCTGATGAATTGTGGCAATTGCAATATTGGAAAGATATATCCAAGAGCGTGTCCACCAAGTCCTGCCAGTAGAATATGCGTTGCGAGCAGCAGAAGTCAACGCGTTCTGGAGATTAAAACTCAGAAACGTACCCTAAGGCGCAATTTCAGACGCGGAGGGTCGTCATGCCAGAATATCCATCAATTCAGTATTGGCAGAACTGCCACTCCTGCTCGAAGGCCATTCTCTTGGTTTCTTTGGAACTTGAGAAAGGTTCAGCCCTGACATTGTAGCTTGCGCATACGTTTGCCCAGATCGAGTAACTTCTGCTACTTGAGGCGTTTCAGGCTCAAATACAATCTCTTCTTCTGGCGGTTCTTGTAGATCCTCCAGATCAGTAACAGGGCTCCCAATATCATCGGTTCCTCTATCAACATTTTCTTGATGGTGATCCAAATCGGCCACAATAGGTTCGTCCTCTTCATCGCCTTCATCACCCAAATCGTCGTCATCTGATTCATAGTCATCATCCCCTTGGAATCTGACAGTGAGTTCCGGCATATCATCAACATCATTGTCTGCATCTGCCAAGAGCTCTTTCCTTTCGGAGTCATCGATACCATCAAATTGTCCACGTAGGTTGAAATCACGTTCATCTTCTTCTTCAGGTTCATAGTCCTGATCAAAGGCTTCTTCTAAGTAACCTTGTTCCGTGTCATCCACTCCTGCGATTTGATCGCCATCTTGAAATGTCTCCAAATCTCTCT